CACAGCAATTAGACAAGAGAAAGAAATTAAAGGAATAAAGATAGGAAAGGAAGAAGTTAATCTGTCATTATTTGCTGATGATATGCTACTCTACATTGAAGACTCAAAAAACTCTACCAAAAGACTTCTCGACTTAATTGACACTTTTAGCAGAGTAGCTGGATACAAGGTCAACACCCCAAAATCAATAGCCTTCTTGTACACAAATAACAGACTCACTGAGAAAGAAATTAGGGAAACAATTCCTTTCACAATAGCACCCAAAAAAATGAAGTATCTGGGAATCAATCTAACAAAAGAAGCAAAAGACCTCTACACTAAAAACTATAGCACTCTGAAAAAAGAGATCGAGGAAGATATAAGAAAATGGAAAGATGTCCCCTGATCCTGGGTAGGAAGAATCAACATAGTGAAAATGGCCATACTACCAAAACTGCTATACAGATTCAATGCAATGCTGATTGAAATTCCAACACTATATTTCACAGAACTAGAAAAAAGAATCCAAAAATTCATTTGGAACCATAAGAGACCTAGAATAGCAAAAGCCATCCTAGGCAACAGACACATGGCAGCAGGTATAACAATTCCCAATTTGAAACTATACTACAAAACCACTGTGATAAAAACAGCATGGTACTGGCAAAGAAACAGACCTGAGGATCAGTGGAACAGATTGGAAGACACAAAAACAACTCCAGATGCACTCAGCTACCTCATCTTTGATAAAGGAGCTGACAGTTCCCACTGGAGGAAAGATAGCCTCTTTAATAAATGGTGTTGGAAAAACTGAATCTCAACCTGCAAAAGATTAAAACTAGACTCTTATGTATCACCATGCACTAAATTAAAATCCAAGTGGATTAAAGCTCTAAATATAAAAACAAAAACACTCAACTTGCTGGAAGATAAGTTAGGCAGAACTCTGGAAGACACTGGCATAGGAAAAGGCTTTATGAACAAATCCTCAGTTGCATGGGAACTAGCAGAAAGAATCAACAACTGGGATCTCATCTTATTAAAAAGTTTCTGCACTGCAAAAGAAGCCATCAACAGAACGAAGAGACAACCTACAATGTGGGAAAAACTTTTTACCAGGTGCTTCTCAGACAAAGGACTATTATCTAAAATATATAAAGAACTCAAAACAACCAGCCCCCCCAAATATAAAGACCCAATTCTAAAATGGGCATCTGAAATGAACAGACATTTCTCAGACAAAAATAAAAGCAGCAAGTAAATATATGAAAAAATGCTCCACATCACTGGTCATTCGAGAAATGCAGATGAAAACAACACTGAGATTTCACCTCAGCCCACAAAGAATGGCTGCTATCAAGAAATCACACAACAACAAATGTTGGTGCGGTTGTAGGGAGAAAGAAACCCTTCTCCATTGTTGGTGGGAGTGCAGACTGGTGCAACCAGTATGGTAGTCAATATGGAGATACCTCAAAGAACTAGGATTAGAGGTTCCATTTGACCCAGCCATCCCTCTGTTGGGTATCTTTCCAAAAGAATTAAAAGAATCATACCACAGTGATATATGTGCACCCATGTTTATAGCAGCACAGTTTGTAATAGCTAAAACTTGGAAACAGCCCATCTGCCCATCAGGTGGAAACTGGATAAACAAGATGTGGTTTTTCTATGAAATGGAATACTACTCAGCCATAAAGAATGAGAAAGAAGATTCATTCATAGGTAAATGGGTACATTTTGAGGATATACTCCTAAGTGAAATAAATAAGTCACATGTGTAAATACCGAATAGTTTCTCTGATGTGAAAACTATAATAGTATATAAGGTCCTTATGATATAATTGACAGTGTGAAATAGGAAGAAAAGGACCAAAGGTGTAGGGACAGTGAGAAGGATAGGGAAAGGGGAATAAGGGAAAAGAAAAAAATATGAGAGAATGTAAAAATGGAATTAAAGTGTTTGACGGTGAGGAGGGGAGGAGCGGGTGAAGGGAGGTGGGGATGAGGGGAAAAAATGAGAACCAAGACCTGTCATGTAAAGGTACAAAATCCCAGTAATGAATGTAACTGTACTGTCTACCTAAAAGGTACCAATAAATTCAATTTAAAATTTAAAAAGAGAGAAAGAAAGAATGCACTGTGCATAGTTATGCTGGTGCATATAAGATGTTTATTAGGAAGGTTTTCAAGAGAGTAGAAGGGCTTATATATATATTCACCTTTTAAATTTGACATTAAGAAAAAATATGTTAGGGGCCATGGATTTAGCTCAGTGGTCCTGCTGCCTGCCTTACAAGCACAAAGATCTGAGTTCGATCCCCGATGCCAAAAAACAAAAAAAATCAAGAATGAATATGTTAGGAATATATTCTTCTCAGGGTCCCTCTTTTAAAGAGAGTTTAAAATTACTGAATATACAGAAAGTGAAAGAAAATGAGCACATGACTTTTAAAATGTACTTCTAAAGAAAGGTTAGTATTTATTTATTTACTTATCTAGCAGTACTAGGGATTGCATTCAGAGGCTTGCCCTGAGCTACTTCCCCAACCCCCAACTCCCTTTATAAGAGAATCTTGCTGAACTGCCCAGGCTGAACACAAACTGGTAATCTGCCTGCCTCACCCTCTCAGAATGCTGGAATCACAGGAATGCACTGCATAGCAGGCTTATATTTTGAATAAGATGCCAAAGGATAATTTATAAAGACTAGGATCATTAATTTATGGAAGATTACTATACAGAGTTGTTTGGCTATTACAGGTAGACTAATAGGCAATAAATGAAAGCCATTAATTAAAAAATTTCTCACTAAATGTGTATGTATATATGTGTCACACACATACACACGAAGAACTCACACAAGCCACATACACCTTTTTGTCTGAATAACATACAAAAATATTCTCTGTGATAGCACTATAAATTATATATATATATATATGTGTGTGTGTGTGTGTGTGTGTGTGTGTGTGTCTCCTAGTTATCTATAATAAGCATACAATATTTGTGCAGTAAAAACATGTTATTTTGCTCTAGAAGTGTTTCAAGAAAAAATGTTATTTCTTTTACCTTCCAATTCATGTTCTTAACCTCTAATTTATAAAAAAATTAGGGAAGGTGTGATACGTAGGGGAAGAACAAAAAGGGAAAAGAAAAAAATGTGAGAGAATGAAAAGATGAAAATAAAGTGTTTGTAGATGGGGAGGGGAGGAGGGGGTGAAGGGAGGGCAGAGGTAAGGGGAAAAAAATGAGAATCAAGACTTGCCATGTAAAGGTACATGATCCCAACAATGAATGTAACTGTACTGTATCCCTAAAATGTACCAATAAACTCAATAAAATTAAAAAAAATTATCAAATATTATTATATTGAAGTATGACAAACACTCAAATAGCTTCCAGGAAATGTACCTAACCCATGTCTGGATGACAGAAATATAAGTGATTTTTATTTTCATATTTTCATTCATCTGCATTTCTCTATTTTATTGAAAAAATAATGTATTAGTTACTTTCTCATTGCTAGAAGAAATCACCCAATGCCTGTAGCTTGAATAAGAATGTTATTTAGAATTAGTTTTCATAGTATTCTGAATAACAACAGTACTAGTATATCACTTTATCTTTTTCAGACACTAGTAAAAAGTAACCACCTTTCAGATAAGATCACTGTTTTGCATGGAAAAATCGAAGAAATCTCACTTCCTGAGAATGTGGATGTAATCATTTCTGAACCAATGGGATTCATGCTTTTGAATGAGAGAATGCTGGAGAGTTACCTTCATTCCAAAAAATGGCTAAATTCCAATGGTGAGTTGTTCAATTTCTAGTTTAGAAAATAGGCTAACCCCTCTGTGAAATGTTGCTACCCTCTTTCCTCCACATTTGATTCTGTGCAAAAAGGAGAGGGCATTTGTATTAGACTCAGTCATTTACTTTTGTCATCCTACGCTTACATAACAAGTTAGTCTCCAGCTGTAAGGACACAGGTGTGCTGTGTACAATTCAATGTGGTATCCAGGGGCAGTTCAAAGGCATATGTTTTTTCCACGACCCTATTATTGTTTTCCTGAGTAAACTTGGGCTAACATTTGAGCTTTTAGCTTTTATTTCCTCATGCATAAAACCATGTATTATAATACATAATTTCTGTTGCCTTTTCTGGTATTGTCCTTCTAGAAGATGTGAAAATCTTGGGGGTCTGCTTGTTCTTTCTGATATACTGTATTCTTTTCCTACCTTGTTTCTTGTTTTCCCTATGATGACCACACATAACTGAGACAATATTACAGCACGCTCCTCTTATTCATAATCTTGCTGTCTGAGGTTTCAGTTACCCAGGATTAATTTAGAACTGAGAACATTAAATGGAAAATTCAAGAAATAAAGGAGCTCATAGGTTTTTAATTATGTACCATATCCTGATGAAATCTTATGCCGACCCCTTCTATCCTGCCCAGGGTGAGAATCATCCCTTCGTCCAGTTGATCCGTGCTGTAAATGCTTCCCACCCGTTAGCACCTCATTTGTCTTATCACATAGGCATTGTATCATCTCACCTCACCACGGAAAGAAAAACAGTGAGTGCAGTACAATAAGGTTTTTTAGTGAGAGACATTCACACAACTTTTATTTAGGTGTATTGTTATAATTTTCCTACTTTATTATTTGTTACAGCTATTAATCTCTTCCCATGATATATATCATTCCTCTATACTCAGATCTATTTATATATTTATTTATTTAGGAATGATTCAGTACTATTTGTAGTGTTAGGCATCCACTGCAGGTCTTGGTGCATACTAATGAGAAGGGACTACTATAAAGCTAATAATTTTTTTTTTTTTTGGTGGTGCTTACCAAGTGACATTTTTTTTCCAGTTTTAATTGAGTTTATTGGTACATTTTAGGGATACAGTACAGCTGCATTCATTGTTGGGATCTTGTACCTCTACATGACAAGTCTTGGTTCTCATTTTTTCCCCTTACCCCTGCCCTTCCTTCAGCCCCTCCTCCCCTCCCCATCTACAAACACTTTATTTCCATCTTTTCATTACCTCACATTTTTTTTCTTTTCCCTTATTACCCTTCCCCTA